CTCATCGTCAAAACTCCAGCTAAGTAACATCATCACTCCGTTTGGGGTCGTTAGTTTCTTTTTACTTTACCGCTAAATACTCATGGGTCGTTATACGTAATCCCGATGTTTCGACAATCTCGGACGGGCCTAACAGTTGAATTTTCTATTCTTTTTCCAAAAAAAGGAAAGAGATAGTAGTTGCTCATGATATCACTCCTATGCAGCTCGGTCCTAAGGAGCAGACCCGCCCTTCCAGGTCTCCGAATTCAGGTTACGGTTTCCAGGGATCTCGTGTTTTAACATGTCTTTGGACTCAGGCTATGGCCTTCAAAGATCTCGGCTCTCCATCTCTCCACACATTGGCTCTGGATAAAGTTGACTAATTTTATACATAATGTGGTTGAGTCAACATAAGTTTGTGTACTTTATGGCTCATTAAGAAGTTGGTACTTTTTTTTGGCTCGAAATGGAAAGTTTGGTATTAAAATGACCTTATGAGGTTTTTGTTTATAATTTCAAAACGACGCTGTTTTCAAACTTACGGATAAAGTAAACGGTAGTTAATAGCTGTTAAAGTTGACTAATTCTATACCTAATTTGGCCGAGTCAACCAAAGTTTGATATTTTTTTGACTCATTAGAAATTTGGTACTTATTTTGGTTCAAAACGGATAGTTCGATATTAAAATGACAGTTTTCCCGATGTTAAAATGGGTAAATCCACTCCATTTAAACCTAACCCATTTAGATCCATATCCATTTAGACCCATTTACTTTTTATACCTATTAGGGCTCTCCATTTAAATTGTACTAGTCAATTTAAACCTATTTAGATCCATTTAATATAATATATATGATTTTAATAATATGTCTAATTATTATTTAGTAAATACTATTTTATTTATATTTTTTTCTTATAAAATTAAATGGATTTAAATGGGTCTAAATGAACTTAACATGCCCTATTTAAGCCCAATTAATTATATTTGATAAATTGGTTTAAATGGGTTTAATATGCTCCATTTAGACCCATGAGTTCAATACCCATATTAACATCCCTAGTTAATATCTTAACTCAACAATCTTTTTTTTTTTCATCTGAACTGATTATATTGATGGAAAACAAATCGAAGAGTACAAACTATACACATCCCATGGGATTTCTTGGAGATTTCCTTGTTAGTCTATTCTAATGTGGCTAAAAATGCCAATCCAAAAACCATTTAACCTGATGACAGGACTAAACAGAGGTTAAAACTCTCTACTTCTAAAAAAAACTCAGCCAACCATGTTGGAGAACTTGTAGCAACATAAGAATGCCTTCGATTATCCCGAACCACGCTATGAGCAATGAGATGAGCACCTTTGTTCATTGATACATCCTCTACCTCTAATCTCCAGTTAGTGATCCCTCCTAAAAGATTTGATACCTCGACAGCCTCTGAGATGAAAGAAGGCCAAGCTCGGGG